ATTTAGTAGTTTTAAAAAATTGTTCAAATATTATGTTTTTTCTGTTCTAAGGCCTGAACTGAGGGTCTGGGTGCTGTCCCTGAGCCTCTTTGTATTCATGGGTAGTGCTCTACCACTTGAGCCACAGCACCATTTCTGATTTTTTTTTAACATATAAATTTTTATTTTATTGTAAAGATGCCATACAGAGTGGATACAATTACATGAGTAAGGTAATGAGTACATTTCTTGTTGAGCTCTGTATCTCCCTTCTTTTTCTCACACTATGCCTTCCCTTCCCACCTTCCCCACTTCTCTCCCACCAATTTAGTAGTTTTCATAGGCAGAGATACATTGTTACTGTAGTGAAGAAATTATAAATTATAAAATGTTGGAAAATCTTATTTTTTAATACTTACCAAAAGTTGTTAACCAACTAAAATTTCTCCTTACTTGTCCTTCAATGAATTTTACCTGGTGTAGGCTTTGTTTACTCTCTTTCTAGAATCTATCAGAGGTTTAGTGAAAGAATATTAGCCCAATCCCATAGCTTGGTCTGACTAAACTGGCTAGTTTGAGTCTTGTAGCCATGAGTTGGGAGTTCTGATTTTCCTTAACATTGGATTAAGTATTAAATTCTCCAACCTCTTGGATGTCCAGAAGTATGTGAAAAACTGGAGCATTTTACAATTCACATTCAAGTTTTATTAATTGTTAATAATTGTTTTCCATTTGAATTTCGGGAAGAGAGAGGTACCAAAACACACCTGCCAATATTTGTTCACAGTTCTGGAATCCTCTTCACCTTAGTTGTCTGAATTTAGGACAAACACATCACTTATCAAACTCAGGTACTTCTGAGGGACAAATGAGAAGTAATCAGCACAGCAGGACCTTGGTGTCACCTGAGAGATTCACTCTAGAAAATATGAGAAGAGGAGGAGGAGGAGGAGGAGGAGGAGGAGGAGGAGGAGGAGGAGCAGGAGCAGGAGGAGCAGGAGGAGGAGGAAGAGGAGGAGGAGGAGGAGGAGGATCTTATTAGGATTTTTAAGATGTACATTAGATATCTTGAGGTCTAAAATGAAGAATTTTACAAAACCAAAATGGGTTTTACCTATGTGAACCTGTGAAATAAACTATCAGCATATTTATAGAGAACACTTATTTAAAAGTGTTTACCTATACTTTGTATATAATCAAGCAACAGTCACCAGATAGACTTTATTTTAGGACATTCCAGAGGAGGGCTTGATGTGTGCCCTTCGATAGCTCAGTTGGTAGAGCGGAGGACTGTAGTAGGATTGTCATGGCTATCCTTAGGTCGCTGGTTCGAATCCGGCTCGAAGGACACAGACCTTTTTTTTTTTTTTTTTTTTATAAAAACCCGTAGTCCAAAACTGTTTAAAATAAAACTAGAATGAACTAAGAAGTGAATTATCATTCAGATATTTTCAAACATAAACTGGCCTTTTAAATTTATGTCTATGTCCAGAATAAACCAGAAATACGGAAAGGGTAGTTTGTTTTGAAAAAGATATTTTCGAAGGAGGTGTTAACTTCTTTCATTTCTCACAGCACCCTCCCTCCTTAAACCATCCCCCCTACAGCCCCCCGCCCCCTTCAGCTCCCTTCTCTCTGCAGTGAACCAGATGTAGTTTTTTTTTCTTTCCTTCTCCTTCCTCCAACTGAGTTAACAATGGATCAAGCAACCGAGAGCCAATGCCTGGTGGACGAGTTTAGAGAGGAGCCTGAAAAGTTCAGAAATACGAAAGGCGTACGCCTGGTAAGAGTCTCACTTCTTTTTTTCTTTACTCAAGATTAAGATATGAGACAGCACAGCCTTTGGGATCCTTTGTAATCATGGTGTCTTTTGAATACATTTTATTAAAGACCATTTCAAAAATAACCAAAAGAAAGTTGGGCGAGTCCACCGCTGCGCTAACCTCGGTTCAGCCCACTGACGTCACGTGACCCTCATCTTTCCCCAATCCTATTCAAGATTTATTCTCCGCCCCTTGTTGCATTGTTTAGAAAAGGTCAGGGATAACCATGAAAAGGGGGATGAAATCCATTTTTTCACAGTCCTGTCCCTCCTCCTTACTAGGAGTGTGGGGGGGGGGCAAAAATTGAAAACGTTGGTGTACATGTGTAATCCCAGTCCCAGTCCTGCCTGTGGAGACTGGGGCTGGAGGATTATGAGTTCACAGCTACATAACCAGACCGTGTCTCAAAACTAAAAAGAAAAAAAAAACAACGAAAAAACCCACAACGGTGTTTTTATAATGTAGATATTTGAATATTTTAGTAGTTTCGTGATTACAACGGAGTGAAACATTCTATAGGAGCCTCAACCACACTCCAGCAACGGCAATAGATATGAACGATGTAGGCATGAATTCGAAAAGAAGGGTGGGGGGCACTAAGGGGATCCTCTCAGTGGGCTCCACAGTGAGGGCGAAGGAGCGGGAGCACGGGAGCTTCTGGGGCAAGCATGGAAGGCTGAGGCCTCACTTTTGCTCAGGAGGCAAGTCGGGAGGACAAGTACAATACCGGAGATAGTTCTATTTATACTATACAAACAGGGAACATATTAAAGACCTATGTGAAACACACTAAAAAGCACACATCTTAAATGTTTGAGGAAAGTTTTTATTTTGTTTATTTTTTACTGTGAAAATACTGTACAGAGGGGTTACAATTACATGGGGAAAGTTTTTTAAATGATTGTACAATTACTAGTCCGATCAGTTTTTAAACATTTCTAACATCCTAAAGGACTTTTGAAGTTTATCTAGCAAAAGAAACTAAATTACTAAACTGCTTTAGTCTGTTTTAAAAACAGTCAATTGTGGATCCTTCGATAGCTCAGTTGGTAGAGCGGAGGACTGTAGAATTTCCTGACCAGTGGTCATCCTTAGGTCGCTGGTTCGAATCCGGCTCGAAGGAACAAATGTTTTGAATGGCTTTCAGCTAAGTTTACAGACTAAAATCAAGAATCCCTGCCCACTATTGTTAAGGAAGGAGTCTCGAAAACCAGGTAGGTTTTCCGGGTAGAGAAACAACAGCAGGAATGGGAATGAAAGACATCTTGACATCAAGATACTTTCTTCACTTTCTTTTGGAGATTGGATGGTCCTTTAGGACCTTCAGTCACATTACTATTTAACGTTAATAAACATGTTATTACTAATAATTTCAAACATACACAAATGTTTAAAAAAACCATCATCGAAGGCTACCATTTAGCATCACACCGACACACAGGACACACTTTCGCACTATCGGTCTCTATGTGTCTCCATCCCCCTCCCCCATCTCCCGCCCCTTAAGTTTCCGATCTTTTGAAGTAACCCCAAGATGTGCCGTTTTACTCATGGATATTGTTTGAAGACGTTCAGTGTTACGAATTTAAAAACGTACCGTCTTGAAAGGAATCCAGGGCAACTGCTGGAAAGTTCTCAGTAAAATGAATGCAACCAGCCATCTGAGAACCTTTAGATACTCCACGAAAGAGCGCTGGGCCCCTGGTGCTTTAGAAATGCGCTCAGGGTCCTTCCTGCTAATATTTCCTCTCTTAACTTTGAACACATTTTTGTACTCTGGGCTACTTGGCTGGAGATGGGAGGAAAGTTAAGCCACAGCAAGGGGCGGTGTGCTTCGATGGTTCTTAAATATCCTAGGCCAGCACGCGAAAATAGACTATATAAATACATAGTTCCCAATGCTGTCTGTCTCTGCATTGGCCAAGCAGTTGGGGCCCGTAGAAGAGACCCAGAGCTTCCAAAAGGGGCGGAACCCCCACCTTTGTAGAAGGGTAGGGTGGGGTTGGGTTATGTGTGTGCCGGTACGCCCTCCGATCCTTCCCCGGAGAAGATCGCTGCCCTTGAAGCCTGGTGAGGACTGCGGCTGCTTAGGGCGGGGCGGGAAAAAGGATTTACAGTCTAGTCTTGTCGGCTAACAAAGTCAGACCCCGGGAAAAGAGGAAAGCGAAACCGCTGTGGGAGGAAAGCTCGAGTATTTTCAATATATATGTATTTATGTGGACACTATAGCAACCCATAAGCGTAACAGGAGCCAAACTAGTTCTTTAGATCACTCAGGCTACATTAAAAAAGGCCACAGGGTCAAATTAAAAACCTTAAATTAAAAGCAAAAACTTAATTTCCCAAAAGGTAAAATCACCAACTACAATTGCAAAGACTAACCACATTAAACCTCTCTCCCCTCTCTCTACATTTTAAGTTAAAAACAAAAATTCAATTAAATTCCCCAAAGGGAACTACAATTGCAAAAGACAAACTACATTAAATCTCTGTCTCTCTCTGGTTCAGGTCCTGGGGCTTGAACTCTGGACTTCGTTGAGCCATAATATAACTTCACGTCCAGTACTGTCGGTGGTTAATCCCAGGCCTCACAGCCACGGGATGGCTTGGAACCACGATCCTCACAACTCGAACTTGGAAAAAAAACCAACCAAGTACAACATCAGCACTTAAATTTGTAAGTTGAAACTTATGAACGTCGAGACGTGAGTCAGCCACATTCGCACTCGTACCAGGACCCCTGGCCGTTAGAACAGACACTCCAAAGTGAAGTTCTAGAGTTCCTGGAAGACCCTGTGGCGCCCTTTTTACGTCACAAGGCATTCCGCGGCGCCCTTTTTACGTCACAAGGCATTCCGCCTTTGGTAACATCCCAATATCTACTTCCACCTCTGCTACTCCAACTCGAGAACTACGTGGGTTTGTCTCTGGAGAACTTCTCACACTGTCCCCAGCACTCTGAACTTCCTCACCGCCGGGAGACTCCCCCTCCTTTGGCTACCAATGTTCTTGCCTTTTCCGGGACCCGGGAGTATCATTTTATTTCATTGGGTAATTACCTCCTAGGCCCCGCCCCTCGCCGCAGGCAGCAGTATCGTTTTCTTTCATTGGGTAATTATCCCTCGGTTCCGCCCCCAAAGGCCGTCGCACACGACGCGCGTCAGTCGGCACTGACTGCTTTACGGGTGTCGTGTTAACTCGTACCGGCCAACATGGAGGGAGAGGAGTCGCTGCGCCCCACCGAGCCGGACCTTCTGGAAGGGACAGACCAGAAGCCAGAGTTGGAGGAGGAGCAGAGTGAACCCGACGAAGCGGCTCGCGGCAGCAAGAAGCGGATCGTTCCAGGGATTGTGTACTTGGGCCACATCCCGCCGCGATTCCGGCCCTTGCACGTCCGCAACCTTCTCAGCGCCTACGGTGAGGTCGGACGCGTCTTTTTCCAGGCTGAAGGTAAGCTCACAGGCCCAGATGGGGAAGGGCGGCGGGTGGGTGGCACCAAGGCCAGGGGGTGCACACCTTCGCTGCCCCGTCTGCGATGCCGCGTTGAGGGGCTGGTTCCCTGGTTCTGGCAGGTAAACCGGTTGTGTGCAGCCTAGGAGGAGAAGGCGTGGGGCAGAGGGAAAAGGGGCGGGCGGGTCGCAGGTGTGCCTTGTGGGGCCTTCATTCTTGGATTGTTAACGCTTGGGTTCTAATTCTGGCTCCTCACACCTCTCCGGAACGGTTTTTCACAATTTGTTCAATGAGTACAACTGGAATAAGCCTCTGGTATTTCTACCAAGCTGAACACGTACATCTCTGTTAAAAGAGAGCGTGTGATTGCCCTCTTCCAGCCCCCATTTGCAGACCTTATACGGAATTGGGGTTAGGTGCTGATTCGGGTCCATTCAGAGGCCTGATGAAGGGATATTATTTGAAGAGAGGGTTGAATGAGACCTTACAGATTATTCCTTTCCATCAAATTGGAAAATTGGGACCTCCGCTGTCAGGTTTGGAAAACATCATGGCCAGTGGAACATGCGTGGGAGCAGGTATTGCCTGGGACTTCTAGACCACTGTTTTGTCTTTGATTCCCCAGATCAGTTTGTGAGACGCAAGAAGAAGGCGGCAGCTGCTTCGGGAGGAAAAAAGGGATCCAAGTACAGCAAAGACTATACTGAGGGCTGGGTGGAATTCCGAGACAAACGCATAGCCAAGCGGGTGGCAGCCAGTCTACACAACACGCCTATGGGTGCCCGCAAGCGCAGCCCCTTCCGTTACGATCTTTGGAATCTTAAGGTGAGACTATAGGTCAGAGTGCTATACTTCTAATCTCCCCTCTTCCCCAAGAGATCCTGATCCTGTGATCTCTTGTTGGCTCATTCTCCCTTCTTGATCTACACTATTTAGAACTTTTTTTTCCCCACAGCTGAATTCTACAAGAGCTTTATTTTTTATTTTTATTTTTTTTGTCGGTCGTGGGGTTGAACTCTGAGCGTGGGCACTGCCCCTCAGCTTTTCAGCCCAAGGTGAACGCTCTATCACTTGAGCCACAGCACCACTTCTGGTTTTCTGTTGGTTAATTGGAGATGAGTCTCACGGACTTAACCTCAGATCTCAGCCTCCTGAGTAGCTAGGATTACAGGTGTGAGCCACCAGCGCCTGGCAGGAGCTTTACTTATTTTTTTTTAAATAATTTTTTTATTGAGATTAAGTGATTACATAAATTTCACAGTATTGTTAGATAGTGAGATAGTGATACTTAAAGTCGCAAACATTTTAATCTACATAGGAAATTGTCATAATCATGGTCTATAATGTGTGTGAATTCTATGAGCTTTCACAATAGAACTATTTCTTCCACATCAGATGATATGTACATTTCTTTCCTTTTGCTTAGTGTAAACTATTCCTTTTCCCTCTCATTCCCTCCCTCCCATTACTGCTCTTGAATTTCTTAGTTCATTTTCATCAATGTCCAGTACAGCTGCTAGTCCCCTCTGTTGATATGACAAACAGGACTGGAGAAACGAAGGACCTCCACTCACTTTATCATTTCATTTCTAAATGACTCCATGTTCTTGACCACATATATGACATATATATATATGTGCATATATATGCGTATATATACATATATGTGCATATCTGAGGGAAGCTAGGAGGATGATACAGAATCAGAGGGAAATGGGAAAATATGTGAACATTTTTTCCTTAAATTTTCTTGCCAACAGTATTTGCACCGTTTCACATGGTCCCATCTCAGTGAACACCTTGCCTTTGAGCGCCAGGTGCGCCGGCAGCGTCTGAGAGCAGAGGTGGCTCAGGCCAAGCGTGAGACTGACTTCTATCTTCAAAGTGTGGAAAGAGGAAAACGCTTCCTTGCTGCTGATGGTGATACAGCTCGTCCTGATAGCTCCTGGGCGTTTGCCCAGCGTCCCACAGAACAGGAGCTAAGGGCCAAGAAAGCTGCACGCCCAGGAGGACGGGAAAGGGCTCGACTGGCTAATGCCGAGGACCAGGCCCGTTCTAACCGAGGTCTCCTTGCCAGGATTTTTGGAGCCCCCTCATCTTCAGAGAATGTGGAGGAATCCTAGCAAGCCAGGGACTTCTAAGAGACAGAGTGGTCTTCACCTAGCACAGCCCTGCTTCTTGTCTACCTCATGCTAGAATGATGAATGACTGCCCATGCTCACATTTTCTGTTTTTCTCAGTCCAGGAGTTGCTGGTGAAGTCTCAGACATGGAGCTTTTGTTAAACCTCTTTGCTGCTCCAACACTCTTAAGTGCCAGGATGAAATAACTTATTTCATACTAACATGGTTATGACTATAGTAAATGCCTGTTTCATTTTGTTTGACTTGTGGTTCTTTACCCCTTTTTCACTGGGGTCACTTCTGGCCTCCCAAATGGCCTTTGTTTTCAACTAAAGTGACTAACATTAGTCTGTATATTGACTACAGGTAAGGGTAGCAGCAACGTCTATTGTATTTAGAAAAGGTTTTCAGGTATTGTAGTTATTGGGTTGGGGAACCTTTTTCCAAGATGTATTTATAGAAGAAAAAAATTAAAATATGTTTATAGATGCTTTTTTAGCTTTAGGGGTGAGAGTCATTGAATGTTTCAACTTTGATCTTGTTCCAGTCATTTATATTAATTCTCCCCCCTAGTTCTGGGGCTTGAACTCAGGGCCTGGGCACTGTTCCTGAGCCTCTCTGTGTTCAAGGCTAGCGCTCTACCACTTGAGCCACAGCATCACTTCTGGCCTTTTCTGTTTATGTGGTACTGAGGAATCAAACCCAGGGCTTCATCATGCTAGGAAGCACTCTTACCACTAAGCCATATTTCTGATCCCTCATTCTATCTTCTTGTCTTGGAGATATTTAGTCCATCGTTCTAAATCCAGATTTTTTTTCCCACCAAATTTCTTAGCTCAGTTTGTCAATCATGTAATTCAACATATATTAAGCCACTCTGTGAGGAAACAGTGGCAATGGGATAGAAACATGTAAGGGATAGAGTAGGGGCCCGTGGTAGGAGTGGAATGCTTTCAGTATGTTTTTGCTTTGTGATTAGCCTTCAGGGATGGGTTAGATTTGAAATTTTCCTAGTTCATTCCTGGAAACTGAGCTGAGAAAATGACAGTAGAAATCTTAAAGATCCATATGTGCCCCAACAGTTGAACAGTACTTTGTGTATAAAGTGCGTCAAATAAAGTGTGTAAAGGTGAGAAAAGCCTAGGAAGGGAGTTGGGAATAGTGTTCTGAGGGACACTTGTGTTGTGGCTTAGATAAGGGGTTCACAAGCAAGCATCTAAACAGTCCTGATGGCTTCACTGGGTCAGGGTAAGCTATTAAAAGGAATGAAAGGGTGACATTGTCCAAAAAGAAATGTACTCTTTACCTCACTTATGTAACTTAGCCCTCTGTACCTCACTTTTATAATAAATATTTTTAATAAAAGGAGCTAAAAACTTGGGTGTCATTATAAACTAAGAAATCTCATGTAGATTAAATTATCCATAGTGGAAGTAGTAGACTATGATTATAAATATTTGAGTTTCACTTTGATTCTTTTTCCTCTATGAATCCTAATTTGAGCACATTACCTGTTTTCTGTTGAGTCTGCAGAATCAAAACTGTAATATGTGATTGCTAACAAAAATCAGAATAGTTCTGAAAGCAAACTTTTGTTTTTTAAAAAATTTATGGGTTCAATCTGACCAAATCTACATACTCCATGTTTTCCCCTCCAAAATAAGCATAAAATTTTGTGGGATTTTTTTTTTTTTTTTAATGAACCTATATGGGACTTTTTTTTCCTTTATGTCAGTTGTGGGGCTTTAACTCAGGGCCTGGGCACTGTCCCTGAGATTTTCTGCTCAAGACTAGCACTCCAGCACTTTGAGCTACAGCTCCACTAACAGTTTTCTGGTGGTTAATTGGAGATAAGAGTTGCATGGACTTTACTACACAGGCTGGCTTCAAACCAATATTCTCACATCTCTGTGTCTTGAGTCATAGGATCACAAGCATGAGCGACCAACACCAAGTACAATAACTTGTACTTGGAAAAACCAAGTACATTTTTAGGGATGGCAACAGAATTTTAACCTAGGGTGATCTGGCTAAGAATCTTTCTCCATGATAATCAAAAAAATTTCCTCCAAGCCAGTTCATGCCTGTAATCATAGCTACTCAGGAAGCTGAGAGCTGAGATTGCAGTTTGAAGTTATCCCAGGCAGGAAACTTTGGGACTGTTAACTCCAATGAACTACTCAGAAGAGCTGGAAGTGGTGCTGTGGCTCATGGTAGAGCACTTGCCTTGAGCAAAAGAAGCCCAGGGATAGCACCCATTACCAAAGTTCAAGTTCCAGGGCTGGCAAAAAAAAGTTCCTCCAAAATGTAGACACATGAACATGTAACATCCCTGTTTACTGTGGTCCTGGCACCCATAGTTATAGGAGTTTTGTAAGTTTTTGACAATGTTAATTCTTGTAACCAGTTAAGAAATATAGTTCAGGCTGGATTAATTATATGTTGGTTATTAAAATGTTTTTAATATTTACATGTTTAGTATTTTTTCTTGCATTTATTGGAATTAAAAATTTTTAATGAGCTATAAAATGATTATAGACTTGCTGGGCACTGGTGGCTCACGACTGTAATCTTAGCTACTCAGGAGGCTGAGATCTGAGAATTGCGGTTCAAAGCCAGCCTGGGCAGAAAAGGATGTGTGAGACTTTTTTTTTTTTTTTTGTCGGTCGTGGGGCTTGAACTCTGGGCCTGGGCGCTGTCCTTCAGCTCTTCAGCTCAAGGTGAGCACTCTACCACTTGAGCTACAGCACCACTTCCGGTTTTCTGGTGGTTTATTGGAGATAGGAGTCTCACAGTCTTTCCTGCCCGGGCTGGCTTTGAACCGTGATCCTCAGATCTCAGCCTCCTGAGTAGCTAGGATTACAGGCGTGAGCCACTAGCGCCCGGCTGTGTGAGACTTTTATCTCCAATAAACCACCAGAAAACCAGAAGTGGTGCTGTGGTTCAAGTGGTAGAGCACTCACCATGAGCTGAAGAGCTGAGGGACAGCGCCCAGGCCCAGAGTTCAAGTCCCATGACCAACAACAACAACAAAAAGATTGTAGGCTATAAGCTTGGGAATCTTCTGTGCCTACTATGCACAATGGATAAACTGAATTCTTTCTGTGTTCTACTTAATACCTCTAGTGTGTCTCCCACTCCACAAATCTTTTGCTTTTCTCTGCCCATAATAAGCTTTCAGCTTTCTGCCAGGATAGCAGAAGGCACATGGAAGGAATGGGAAGGGTTTGAAGATACAATTCTGGTTTTTAGCACCGCATCCTTCATCCTTACTCCCTCCACTTCAAGAGTTAATCTGCTGCTGTTTGTCTCTAAGCAGTTTAGAAACTGGTGTTCATTACTTTGATTCTTGAATTTATTGCTTTGTTAGGTGAGGTTCAACTTTCCCATTTGTTATATTATCCTGATATGTAACAATGCTTTCGTGCTTTTTTTTTTGTCTTCTGTTTTTCTCATCTGGATTTATGTGTGAAAATTCCTGCCACTGTGATTTGAGAGACTGTTCTTTTAACATAATTTTTGCTTCAAAGTAGCTAAAGGGTGACAGTATCAGCTTTTTAGTTTAGCTGTTAATGAAAGTTTGTGAAACAGGCAACAGAGTAGAAGTGTGATGGAGATACAAGCATGGGAATTAAAAGTCAAGCAAGTATGGGAGAGAGGAAGAAAAAGACGGAAAAAACAGCTGTAGAAGGGAAAAACTTTAGTAGGAAAGTAATCGCGGAAGAAAAGGCAAAGAGGAAGAGAACTCAGGCAATAGGGTAAATAAAAGGAAAATTAAAAGTTTGAAAGAACATAATATTGAGAAAAAAATTAACACAGAAAAGGGAGAGGAAGAATGATGGACTAGGTGACTAGATGTATATGTAAGTGGATGTTAAATTGAAACCCTTTGTACAACTATTTGAATATAATAAAGGGAAAAGTGATTTCTTTTTTTTTTTTTTTTGTCGGTCGTGGGGCTTGAACTCTGGGCCTGGGCGCTGTCCCTCAGCTCTTCAGCTCAAGGCGAGCGCTCTACCACTTGAGCTACAGCGCCACTTCCGGTTTTCTGGTGGTTTATTGGAGATAGGAGTCTCACGGTCTTTCCTGCCCTGGCTGGCTTTGAACCGTGATCCTCAGATCTCAGCCTCCTGAGTAGCTAGGATTACAGGCGTGAGCCACCAGCGCCCGGCGGAAAAGTGATTTCTTAAAGATTTGTCTGAACTTGTAAATTGTACCAGCCCATTATAGGTTAAGTACTGTCATCTCTGATTATATCTTTCATAATGAGATTGGTTATATGTATGTTTCAAACTTTCCAGAAGCCAAGTTGTCCTATTGTTGTGACATCAAAAAGGTGATCATCTCAGATGGATGACTGCTAGAAACATGGGTCAGTAAAGAATGACACTCTTGGTAAGAACAGTGTTCAGTGGTTCATTAAATGAAGTACCTTGTGGGAGCTGAAAACTTTTAATGAGTATGACAAAGTTGAAGACCCAGGGAGCCTAGTTAAATAACTACTTAATTGGGAAAGTGTAAAACTGCATGTGTTTCCCTGGGACCTAGAAGCCAAGTACCAAGTAGTGAGGTAGAAATTGCTATGATTAGCAGACTCCAAAGGACAAAGCCATTTGGTTACCTTGGTGACATCTGACAAAGAATTCTATTAGTGGTAATATATATATCCATCAAAATGATGTAGCAAGCCAGCCAACAGATAGCCATTTTATTCTAATTAATACAAATTATAGATAATATGCTAGGACCTCTATGCTTTAACAACATGTTAGAATTTTATTCCTAAGAATGTATGTACATATTAAAAACACCTTCTGATAAGTCAATTATATATTAAATAGGAAGTAACCTATTAATTGATTTTACAGTTAGACTATGAGAAATAATTTTTTTTCTTTTTTTGTCGGTCGTGGGACTTGAACTCTGGGCTTGAGCGCTGTCCCTGCACTCTTCAGCTCAAGGCAAGCGCTCTTCCGCTTGAGCCACAGTGCCACTTCTGAGAAATAATTTATTCTATCAACTCACTATTAATTTATTTTATTTTTGTCAGTTGTGGGGCTTGAACTCTGGGCCTGGGTGCTGTCCCTGAGCTTTTGTGCTCAAGGCTAGCACTCTACTGCTTTGAGCCACAGCTCCACTTGCAGTTTTCTGTTAATTGGAGATAAGATTCTCATGGCCTTTCCTGCTGGGACTGGCTTTAAACCACAATCCTCAGATCTCAGCCTCCTAAGTAGTTTAAGATTACAAGCATGAACCATCAGCACTGAGCTCACTATTTCTTTTGAATTATATTTTTATTAGATCTAAGTATTTGTAGAAAGGGGTTACCATTCAACATGTGCATCTTGTTCCATAGCACACTTTTCATCATTCTCCCTAGTCCTAACCCCTTTCAATTTTCTAGTTTTGTGGGATATAATTGGGTATTATGATTGCATTCTCCCCACTCAGCATACTTTTGATTTTATTGTATTCATTAAGTTGCAGGAGTTCTTTTATTAAACCTTTTAAAAATATTTAATACATTTCCAAAGTCATGCATTATTTTAATCAGCACTTTTAAAATCATTTTGTTACATAAAAATGACATAAATCAAAAGAAATATGGAATGTATAACTTGAATGTGTACTTAAAAAATAATAGTATGATAAACTTAGTATGGCAGGAGCAAAACAGATAATGACAACATTTTAGGTGACTGAAAGGATAGAGGATACCCAGAAGAAAAAGAAAAAGGGAAATGTTTCACAATGTAGCCCAAGTTGCCCTTGAACTTAGAGTCCTCCTGCCTCTATCCCCCAGATGCTAAGATTACAGGTGTGCAGCATCATGTTGTAATTGTATTTTCATTGTTTGCTTCTATAATACCTTTTTAATCCATCAGTTTTCTTGATACATTTGTTGAAAAATCTAAACACATGAATTTTATTGTTTAATTTGACTACTTTCTTTTTTCTTTTTTGTCGGTCATGGGCCTGAACTCTGGGCCTGGGTGCTGTTCCTCAGCTCTTCAGCGCAAGGCTAGCCCTCTACCAATTGAGCCACAGGTCCACTTCTGCGGCTTTTTCTTTTTATGTGGTGCTGAGGAATCGAACTCGTGAGGCCTCGTGCATACAAGGCAAGCACTCTACCCCTGAGCCACCTTCCCAGCCCTCATTTAACTTTTTGAAAGTAAGAAAATGGTGTCCTTACTGGTATTTATTTGACCAGGGAACCCCTGTAAATACATTTTTCTTTTAGTTTTCCTACTCATTTCAAGACTTTCTCATTTTTTTTCTTCTGAGGTCAGTATTTGTACCGTTGACTTCTCCAGTAAAAACTTACCAAAGACCTTTAGGTTTTAAGGCCAGCCCAGGTAGACAAATATGAGAGATTCTCCAATTAACCACCAAAAATCTGGACATGGAGTTGTGGCGTCGTTGCTTCTCAGGGTAGCCGCAAAGACCTCCCTTCATCTCCATCTTTCACTGCGCAATTACAGCCCCCAGCGCACAAGACAAGACCCTGGGGCGCAGGCGTCCCTAGGCCCAACCCCCTTTAGGAATCTCGGACCCTATTGGCCCAAAACCTGAGGGTGGCCCGCCCAGGTCGCTGAAGCGGGGTTTGTCACGTGACTTTCGGAGGCGGGGTTGCGTCGGTGGTTTCTCAGCTGGCTTGTGAGGGCTAGCGTTGCTGGCCTGGGAGGCCCTTAAAGCGCCCTCTGAGCGGCCTGCCTCTAGCCGAGGCGTGCAAAAGGAGCTGCTCCTAGTTGACATCAGCTTTCCAAACTTCTCTTTCCTTGTCTTTCGAAAGCCGGGCCCTTTGGTCCACCGCCGCGGAGTCTGTGGCCGCCGGAAAGCTCAGATTCGAGAGTCCGGAGAGTAACCGGAAGTGCCCTCCCTAGGCGGCTCTGGCCGCTGCCCGGGTAAGCGCAGCGCTTGGGGCTGGAAGGGATGCGGCCTACAAAGCCTAGACACTTGTCTGGGTCGGGGTAGAAATGCGTGGCAGCACCCAAGACCCCCGGAAGAGAGTAGCTCAGTTCTCGGAGTCTGTAAGGACCTGGATCCGGCGCCCTGGGGATAGAGGACCTGACTGTAAGATGTCCAGTGGGAAGTTAAAAGGAGATATTTTAGTTCAGTGGATCCCAGAGATGATATTAATCTTCTAGGTAAAATAGAGCTTTCGTATATATTGGGAAGGGGGGGGACGACATTGAACAGAGCCTTCCTCAGTCTTCTATGAAGGGATTAGTTTTGTTACAGTGTAATCTATTTGCAGAACCATTTATTTAATGGTTTCATGCTAATTTTTCCCTGGGGGAGGGGTTCCTGTAGTAAGTATAATTTTGTATTATATACACTTATCACATGCACTAACTGTTTGTAGGCCAGGAATGGATTATTGGCTGCAGCAGTTGAGATAACACAAACAAAAGCAATTAGCTGAAGGAGAAAAATGAACACAAAACAAGGCTTAAGGCTTTGTTAGTTACATTTTGTCATCTAGAAGGGTTCTTGACGTTTTGTGTAGAGCAGATAAGGAATGAACTTTTTGCCAGGGAAACCATGTAAATAATGGTAGAAAGAGGTAAAGTATAAAGAATGCTAACAAGACTAAAGAGTAAATGGGACCAATATTTAAATGGCCAGCTGTAGAAAAACAAATGAACTCAACAAAATTGTCTTCCATATTACTGATTTTTTTTTTTCTTCTAGGAGAGGGAAGAATTGAGTGTTGTGATAGTTCTGGACTAGAGACCTTTTGACATCCAAAGTAAAAGAGTCAGTCTTCAGTTTCTTGTTATGGTAAGTGATATTCTAGGCTGTACATTTTTACAAAACTGTGGGTTTAGGGATAGGGATGCTATCAAAAGGAATGGGAGAAGATACATGGAAAACAGGAACAGTTCTTTGTTAGGCTCTTACACAGCAGTAATAAAACTGGACCCTATTCTACCAAAGTAAATATACTGTTTACTCTTTTTCAGTGAGCACATATATATTCACAGATAGGCTTGCAGCAATTGCTTGCTGATTGACACCCAAAGAAGGCAGTATGCCCAATGTGGAGTCAGGCTCTGAAGTCAGATGAATTTTTAAACCCTAGTTCTCTACCTAACTAGCTGTGCGTTTTTAGGTAAATTGATACCTGTCCTAAGTATCATGCTTTCTATTTTACAGCCTTCTTAGGAGGACTAAATAAGATAGTTTCTGTAATCAATGAAAAAAGAAGTGAGATGATAATCCGTAATAGTGATTATTATCTATAGTTACCATTAGTTGTTTTTCAGATAATGCTTAAAATGCTGATTTTGATTGTTCTATACATCCTTTAACTATAAAGATAACTGTGACATCTTAAATTCTATGGCTCATTTTAACAGGTTGGATTTTTATTGCCTGTTTATTCTGGTGCTCACTGACCTTACAAATGAAAAGAGAATACTAGTCGGGCGCTGGTGGCTCACGCCTGTAATCCTAGCTACTCAGGAGGCTGAGATCTGAGGATCACGGTTCAAAGCCAGCCCGGGCAGGAGAGACCGTGAGACTCCTAGCTCCAATAAAAACCACCAGAAAACCGGAAGTGGTGCTGTAGCTCAAGTGGTAGAGCGCTCGCCTTGAGCTGAAGAGCTGAGGGACAGCGCCCAGGCCCAGAGTTCAAGCCCCATGACCTACAAAAAAAAAAAAAATAAGAGAATACTAATCTCTTCCTAGAATGGGGTAAGAGAAGCATTATGGTGGAGAGTACCTTTGATCAAAAACTTAAAGGATTATATTTGGTTTTGTCAGATGGACCTGTTCAGGGCAACTGGCTTAGCATCATGTGTAACTACTGGAGATCTGAGGATAATTATGGCCAATTTCTTGTTTTAATATTTGTATTTTTGTTCATTCAAAAAATGTTAGGGACATTGGAGTCCTAATCCTAATAGATATTATATTTTTAGTAGGAGAGAAAAATGAGCATATGTAAATTTCATACCACATAGTTGGATACTGATGTGTTATTGGGGAGAAATTAACTTCCTTCATTTGCAATGTTTCCTTTGCAAAACTAGATAAGTTACGTGCTTCATGGAGTTACTATTATAAGTGACAACTTGGGGTAAAAGACAAAGTTCAATGCCTGCTCTCATGAGATGCTCAATAAGCAACAGGTTTTATTCTTAATTCTGTTGTCACATGCATAAAACCACGAATATATACTGAGCCTATCCTCTGTACTTGCCTGTTGTGCAAAGACTTGCTCATGTTTCTTTTAAAATAATTAGCCCCAGGCCTGGCACTTGAACTTGGGCCTGGGCTCTGTCTCTGAGCTTTTATGCTCAAGGCTAGTATTCTACCACTTTGAGCCACGGCACCATTTCTGACTTTTTGGTATTTACTTGGAGATAAAAATTTCACAGACTTTCCTGCACAGTTATTGGTTCATGGTTGTAATCCTAGTTACTCTGGAGGTTGAGATCTGAGTCTCTTAATTTCTTTTTGGCCAAAGGGCTAAATAAATTCTTACATAGCTTTAATTTTACTTTATTACACAAAATATAGCATTAAAAATCCTTGTGTATGTGTGTATGTGCGCACGCGTGTGCGCACACGTGCATGCCAGACTTGAGGTTTAAACTCAGGGCCAGGAAACAAATAGTTCCTGGCTTTTATTGCTCAAAGCCAGCACTCTACTACTTGAGCCACAGCTCCACTTCTGGCTTTTTGGTGGTTAAGTAGAGATAAGAGTCTCAGAGAGGGGCTGGGAAGGTAGCTCAGCGGTAGAGTGCATGCCTTGCAAGCATGAGGCCCTGGGTTCGATTCCTCAGCACCACATAAGCAGAAAAAGCCGGAAGTGGCGCTGTGGCTCCAGTGGTAGAGCGCTAGCCTTGAGCTGAAGAGCTGAGGGACAGCGCCCAGGCCCAGAGTTCAAGCCTCATGGTGGGCAAAAAAAAAAGAGTCTCAGAGACTTTCCTGCCCAGGCTGGCTACACCTTAAAATTTATGATTTTTTTTCCTGGAAATTATGTCAATTTATGAAATTTCCCTTTATACTTTTATAGCTACCTGGTACTCCATTACATTAGATATGCAAAGGTTATTCAATTATATCCTATGGTTTATTTAAACTACTACATTAAGTTTTTTCAGATATAAACCTGGTGAATAACTGTGCATTTGTGTTGTATGTTATTGGAAGTGTATATTCAGTCACAATGGGATTGCTGAGTCAAGTGTTAAAAGTATACTTATTATTGCTGAGTCAAGTGTTAAAAGTATTCTGTCCCCTCTGGACAGGTTGTACCAATTTGCATTTCCTCCAGCAACATGTGAATGTTTGCTTCCGTGTGTGTGTGTGTGTGTGTGTGTGTGTGTGTGTGTGTGTGTGTGTGTGTGTATGTATGTAGTCATTCCTTTGAATGTGTGTCAATTGGTTAAAAACAGTATTTCCGGTATTTTTTTTCTAGCCCTAGGTTTTTGTTTTTTTTTTTTTGGTTTATTTTTTTATTCACCATCTGGCCTCTGGGACAATTGTGAGGACTTGAATGGGAGAGGCATTTAATGTTTATGTAGATATTCTGAAATTCAAGACTCTTCCATTTCCAAGCATTTTGGGTAACGAGCCCATGCAAAACATAGAACACTTACGGACACTAAAAGTTTATGTCTTTTCTACAGTGATTTTAATTTTGAGAACTCTTTTCTTAGTTTTAGGAATATTAATGTTTTTACTTTGTCTCACAGATTTGGAGACACCAAATAAGAAAATAATGTGGATGATGCTGGAAACTGGTAAAAGTGAAGTTATGACTGAAAAGCTTGAAACAGATGTATCTTCCAGGTTCTTATCGAGAAAATGACTATGAAAGCAATGATGGGTCAAGAGGACCAGTGGAAAAGTCCCTAGGAGAGAGCCATAGAAAATGTACACTTCAGAAGAGAGATATAATCAGAGAACTCCAAAAAGGAAATTATATCATGTATGCCCTCAGAAGGGTAAAAAGATTTTTATTCATGTACATGAGATTACTCAAATAGATCATCAAATATACCAGTGCCTTGAACGTGAACAAAAATTTTGTGAAAACTTAGCACTTATTATGTGTGAAAGAATCCATACTGGGGAGAAACCTTATAGATGTGATATGTGTGAGAAAACCTTCGTCCAAAGCTCAGATCTTATTTCACACCAGAGGATCCACAATTATGAGAAACCTTACAAATGTAGCAAATGTGAGAAGAGCTTTTGGCACCATTTAGCCCTTTCAGGTCACCAGAGAACCCATGCAGGTAAAAAGTTCTATACATGTGACATTTGTGGCAAGAATTTTGGTCAGAGCTCGGATCTGCTTGTACACCAGCGAAGCCATACAGGCGAGAAACCGTATCTGTGTAGTGAGTGTGATAAGTGTTTCAGTCGCAGTACCAACCTCATAAGGCACCGAAGAACTCACACAGGTGAGAAACCATTTAAGTGTTTGGAGTGTGAAAAAGCTTTTAGTGGGAAATCTGATCTTATTAGCCACCAGAGAACTCACACTGGTGAAAGGCCCTACAAATGTAATAAGTGTGAGAAAAGTTATCGACACCGTTCAGCCTTCATTGTACATAAAAGAGTCCATACTGGGGAGAAGCCCTATAAGTGTGGTGCCTGTGAGAAATGCTTTGGCCAGAAGTCAGACCTCATTGTCCACCAGAGAGTCCACACAGGTGAGAAGCCGTATAAATGCTTGGAATGTATGAGAAGTTTTACTCGGAGTGCCAACCTAATTAGACACCAGGCCACTCACACTCATACTTTTAAATGCCTTGAATATGAAAAAAGTTTCAACTGTAGCTCAGACCTTATAGTACATCAGAGAATTCACATGGAAGAGAAACCACATCATCAATGGTCTACATGTGAGAGTGGCTTCCTCCTAGGTATGGACTTTGTTTCCCAACAGAAAATGAGAACTCAAACAGAGGAGCTATGTTACAAATACAGTGTATGTGAAAAAAGCTTCCACCAGAGCTCTGCCCTTCTTCAACATCAGACAGTACACATTGGCGAAAAGCCGTATGTCTGTAACATGGGTGAGACAGATCTTGAGCTCAGCCCACCACATGCATCTGAAGTGTCACAGATATCTTGACCAGAAAATAAGTTACACCACCATGCATACATATAAACACACACAAAATGCATTTACATGCCATAGAACTCAATAAGATGAAGATCTCTGGTGAATCTCAGACTTTCCTCAGCTCTCAGACTTCAGTGGGGACCAGAGAACTTGCACTTGTAGGAAGTGTCAGAAAGGCTTTACCTACAGAGCTGTCCTAACAACACCTTATCATTAGTCCAGTGAAACTCCAGAAATACTCTGAGTTTTGGAAAACCATTAGTCTGAGTTCAAACTTGATCACTCACAGAAAAATTCATACAGGTAGGGAACCCTGATTGTGTGTGTATGAGAGAGCTTTCTAGCAGTGCTCAGCCCTCCTCGTAAAAGAATTCATACCAGAAAACAAAATACCTTCAGTGTCAACAGTGCTTCAGACAGTATGTACATCTCATTGGACATCTGAAAACCCACCCTTAGGACAAAACCCAATCAATTTGGAAAAAGCTTCCAACAGAACTCTGACTTTGTTACCCATCAGAGAAGCCGTAATGGTGAAAAATTATATATTTGTCTTGAGTGTGACAAAAACATTTGTTGGAAAGCCTTACTTGTTTGTACCAAAAGAAAAAAATCTGAAGACCTTAGAAGTATCTGAAAGAGAAAAGCTTGTTAATGATCAGCTCTTGTGGTGGTACATCAGGGAACTCTAATAAGTGGGGGAAAAATCCATATACACTTTGAGTCTGAAAAAAGCTTTGCTAGAAACTCCTGTCTTACTTAATTGAGCCCCCAAAGAACCTGTTCTCTGGAAAAATTTGCTCCAGTGAGATCTAATTGTGGGTGAGAAATTATGTACATATTTGTATGAGAACTGTTCTCATAGTTGAACCATGTGATACAGATAACTTGAAATGCAGTCAGTATGGAAATAATTTTTCTTATACCCAGACACTTGTTCTGGAAGGAGTTAAGGCAGGTCAAAGTAGACCTGATGGGTTACTCAGGTAAAGATGCTTTTCTTTTATCTGAACCACTTAATGATTGTTTTACTTTCACTTTTTAAAATTCAATCATCCAGTAAAGGAAGGGACTGGAATCTTGTGATATAAGATATGGCATGTGTTACTGTTGGGGAAAAGGACTATCGATTTTGCTTCTTGGTTATTTCCTTTTTATTCTTGGCTACAGTAGGAATAGTGTATTGATAATAACATGGGACTCTTGCAGGCTGTGAAAAGAATGAATGAAAAGCTAGGAGTAGTTATAATAGGTCAGAACTATTCCAATGGTTTCCCCTTTTAGAATCAGTCTCATAAAACAGCAGAATACTCAGTTGTTTGTTTGTTTTTTTTATGTAGTATAGTTTGAGGCCTACTCCCAAATATTTTCTTTTCCCTAAGATGTCTTCCAAGTTATTATTGGTACTTGAGATATCAAACTAGAGAGATTTATTTCTTTGCAACTCAAAATACAAATTCCAGGATAAAGGTTATAGTGTTCATATGCAGACTTTTATGACTTGATTTATCATCTCTTTCAATGATTAGTACCCTCACTTGTCTCCTGTGAAATAAGGGAAATTTAACTATTAGCACAGAGAAAAGATGCATAATACATTATTAGTATCAGAGTAAGACTTTGAGCATCTTGACTCCAAAGATGGTGTCCTTTTCATTCCATTCTCCTGCTAATATTTATAGCAAATTAAGCCACATAATGACACATTTTTCATTTATTTCAGTTCTGCCAAGAAAAGAGAACAATACCCTTTAATCCCAGGGGAAGGATTGCAGTCACCACAATAATAAGGTATATATTTGGCTTGGAATAAGGATTCTAAGTGCTATAAGGGAAAAAAAGTTAGCAGATTCCCTGGAGTTGTAAGGATAAGCATATGACTCCAATTTAACAGTGTAATTATGGTTTTGAACATTCTCTAGAAATTTTGTAATCTGCGTGTGTAAATGGTTACTTCTGTTTTTTTTTTTCTTCCCTCAGATTAAAAGACATTTTAAAATACATTTCGGGTTCCTTTAGCATATGTGACTGTAGATGTGAATATATATTTTGTTGCTAGTCAGACTCTGATGGCTTTGATTTATCCAACATATACCTGAACTCCAGAGAAGAATTATTGGTATTTGGATTCATGGAGTTGGCTGCTGCTACCTTATATCTGGCTGTGAGCTTTGATCCTAATGATGTCATGATCATAATAATCTTAGGGTCAGTGGATATAGCTTATAATAATAGTAAATAATCTGATTCTAGGATTTCTTTTAGAACACAGGTACTGTAAGTTAATTTGATATGTTTCAATACTTTTTATAACTAGTTTATACCATGAAAAAATTGCCCATTGTTATAAATACAAGTTGTATTTTTTTCTTTAGTGAAAATTCATGCTTTATCATTCATATAAGTTATGACGATTGTTATACTTAAAAAGAATATTGGGTGTGTGGCATATTGGTAATGAAGATTAGCCTTATGGCTGTGTATTAATCACTAGAGAGACTTTAAATAAGGGGACAGTTGCTATCATTAGCAGGGCAATGATTTGCCCCTTCTTTCAACTAATTTTACTGATAATTGTCTCTAGTCTGTAAATTAACAATGAACCATCCCTCAAATGGAGAACTTTGGGGATATGAAACAGGTCTGAGTGCTTTTTAACCATGGAAGGAAAGGTATTGGTATTACTCATATAGCATAACCTGAGGTTGGAGAGGACCACTTGGGAGCCTGTAACTAAAGCTAGATGGTAACTTCTGGGATGGATGGAGGTTCCCTTGAAGCAGTGCCAACCTAAATCTACCTCAGGTAAGTAGTTAGAGTAACTTTTTCAAGATTCCGACCAAATGAGGTAAATTGTATTCAGTTGTACTCCTTATGCTTTAATATTTTTGTTTTCCTTTAATCCTTAAATAAACATTTGTTCTGAAAAGCTCCTTTTTTTTTGTCTCTGTTGTACTGTGAAAAAATAGCATTTCCCTATACCTGCATTAGAATAAAGCAGATGTTCATGTGATGCTTAGGCCCCATGATGTGGGTAATCATTGGACCATCTCTACAATTTCAGTTTGTCATACTGAAGCAAAGAGGACTGAAGACCTGAAATGTTGTCTAGACTTTTCTTTGGACATCAAATCCTTTTAGTGTGTTATATAACTAGTATAGAAAGGAGCAGAAGCTCAAACTGAGTATGTTTGGGGTTCTGAAATTCAGTAGCTAATAAAACATCTGTTTATGTGCATATCTGACATGTTCAAAATTAAGGAAGAATCTTAAGTTGCAGTTTCTAGTAAATTCTATACTTGGCTTCAATTCTTTTTTTTTTTGGGGGGTCCAGTTGTGGGGCCTGAACTCTGGGCCTGGGCGCTGTCCCTCAGCTCTTCAGCTCAAGGCTAGCGCTCTACCACTTGAGCCACAGCACCACTTCCAGCCTTTTTCTTTTTGCTTATGTGGTGCTGAGGAATCAAACCCAGGGCCTCATACATGCAAGGCAAGAGCTCTATCACTGAGCCACCTTCCCAACCCATCTCCTTATTTGTTGAGTTGGAGTCAAGGGAGGTGATATAAAAATGGTTGCACTAGCACACACAAATGCAAACACTCATGTTTTTCCCCAGTTAGTATGTATGTGCTTTGCTAGAAGACAGGTTCTAGGATTTTAAGTGGCGTCCACTGTGAGGAGAGAGGGACTTGTGACAGTTGGCTAGATGAAAAGAAGAGGAAGTGATAATTGCAAATCCTTCTGACATTCATACAATGGTATGGCTTATTAAATTCTGCAGCCCTAATGCTGCTTTTCCTATTTTAAAATAATATTACTTTCCAACATTGAGATGAGAAAGAATTCAATATTAGCCATTGGGCCAAGACCAGTGTATCATGCCTGTAATCCCAGCAACATGGAGGCAGATAGGCAAAAACATTAGCAAGACTGTGTCTTCAAGGACAAGCTTGAGTGTGTTGGTTCATACTATAAAGTATCAAGCTACTTGATACTTGATACTTGATTGTAATATGAGGTTGTCCCTGGGCAAAGTAAATGTGAGAGGTTGGGTGCCTGTGGCTCACGCCTGTAATCCTAGCTACTCAGGAGGCTGAGATCTGAGGATTGTGGCTTAAAGCCAGCCTGGGTGGAAAAGTCCCCTGTGACACATCTCCAGTTAGCCACTCAAAAACTAGCTATGGATCAAGCGGTAGAGCACTAGCCTTGAGCACAAAGAGGGCCAGGGACAGCGCTCATGTCAGGAGTTCAAGCCCCACAACTGAAAAATATGGGACCCTAACTGAAAAGCAAAAACTGAGGACATGGCTTATGTAGTTAAAGCACTTGTTAAGCAAGCACCAGGCCCCGAGTTCAAACCTCTGCTTCAAAGTGTGAAGAGTAAGATTTTTTTTCTTCTGGTACTGAGGCTTGAGTAGTTTATTGGAGAGAAGAGTCTCATGGACTTACTTGCCTGGTCTCTAAGACTAGTTTTAAGACTAGAGGGTTAAGATTCCTTGTTTCTTATTCAGTAGGTTTGGGTTGTGTGGATTCTACATCTTTAAGGAGTTCCTCAGTGAAGGTGATACTGGTCCTGGGGTTCTACTGGGGTCCTACAAATCATTGTACTACTTGGGAAATTCTGTGTACTATGAAAAAACCTGCTATGGGCTTTAAAAAATTATTAAGGAGTTGTGCCAAGGGGTTACAATTCCATAAGCCAGGTAATGACTACAGTGCTTCTTAGACAATGCCAGCCTTTCACTTTCTCCGATTACCCTCCTTCTGTCTCTATTCACAAGTTGCATAGTTAATCTTTTACAAGGTACATATAAAATATAACAACTGCATTTGTTGTGGGCTTTTATTTTTGGTGTCAGTCCTGGGGCTTGAACTCAGAACCTGAGCTCTGTCCTGGAACTCTTGTGCTGAAGGCTAGTGCTCTTACCACTTTAAGCTGCAGTTCCTCTTCCATCTTTTTTTTTTGGGGGGGGGGGGGTAGTTGATTGGAGATCATCTCACCTGGGCTGGCTTTAAACTGATCCTTAGATCTCAGTCTCCTGTGTAGCTAGGATTACAGGCATTAAGCCACTGGCTCCCAGCTGTTGGTATTTGTATTTGGTATTTCAGTGGAGAATTATGCTCATGAAAGCAGAGACATTAAAGATGTGTTAATGCTAAGCTGAGGATGTTGTCAGTGCACTATACAGCACTTGACTACCATGTCCAAGCCCCTGTGTTCAATCCCTAGAAAAACACATTTTAAGAATTGGCTCTCTAAGCCGGGCGCTGGTGGCTCACGCCTGTAATCCTAGCTACTCAGGAGGCTGAGACCTGAGGATCGCAGTTCAAAGCCAGCCCGGGCAGGAGAGACTGTGAGACTCCTATCTCCAATAAACCACCAGAAAACCGGAAGTGGCGCTGTAGCTCAAGTGGTAGAGCGCTTGCCTTGAGCTGAAGAGCTGAGGGACAGCGCCCAGGCCCAGAGTTCAAGCCCCACAACCGACAAAAAAAAAAAAAAAAAAAGAATTGGCTCTCTTCTAACTCCAATAAGGTCTGTGTCTCTCATAGGTCTTATGATCATACACACACACACACACAAATATACAAAGTTTGTACCAGTACTGGACTTGAACACAGGGCCTGGCTATTGAACACAGGGCTTTCCATTTTCACTCAAGGCTGGAGCTCTACCACTTGTGCCACAGCTCCACTTTCGGCTTTTCTTGTGGTTAATTATAAATAAGTGTCTCATGAACTTTCCTGCCTGGACTGGCTTGGAATCACAATCTTCAGGTCTCAGCCTCCTGACTAATTAGGATTTACAGGTGTGAGCCACCAACATCGTGGTACTATATATTTTTAATTATATTGAATGATTAACTTTCTGTAAGACAGATTTTTATGCCTGTTTACACATTCAAATTGTTGAGATAGATAGGTTTTGGTTTAAGCAAAACATCTACATATATATGATATTAAAATTATTTACTTTTTTGAGTGATTGAGGACATTCTTTAATTTTACAACAAAACGTGATAGGTGTTAGTCTTTAAAGGTTGGATTATAGTAGTGATCAAGGCTTTTACCCAGGTGTGATTTTGTGACATTTTGGTAATATTGTTCCACTGATACTTAGTTCTTCAGGGTGTTGAAACATTTCAGTATATAGTATCAAAAAACAGAACGCTCATTAATACCACACAGGATCATCAGTTGTCTAATGATTGTGAAGCTAGAAACTCATTAAATTTTCCAAATGCTAATTTTTCACTTGAAAACAACTAAAAAACTCAGCTTGAGCAGTTTGCAGCTCAAAAATCACCCAAGGCTGTGTGCTGGTAGCTCACACCAGTAATCTTAACTATTGTGGAGGGCATGATTTTAGGATTGTTATTTGAAGTCATTCCAGACAGAAATATCCATGAGACTTACCTCCAATTAACCAGCAAAAAGCTGGAAGTGGAGTTGTGGCTTAAGTGGTATGTCTTCAGCCTTGAGTTGTTCTGAGGTCAAGCCCCAGTACTGGTGTGTGTGTGTGTGTGTGTGTGTGTGTGTGTGTGTGTGTGTGTGTGTGTGTGTGTGTGTGTGTGTGTGTGTGTGTGTGTGTGTGTGTGTGTGTGTGTGTGTGTGTGTGTGTGTGGGCACGCACGCACACGTGCGCTCTCTCTCTCTCTCTCTCTCTCTCTCTCTCTCTCTCTCTCTCTCTCTCTCTCTCTCTCTCTCTCTCTCTCTCTCGCACACACACACAGAACTACCCACGACCTTTTCCTAGAAACAACTGTCTTATTTAAGTAGATAGTTGAAGTGCTTTAATTTCACTTTCCATTTGTTCACACAGGATCATAGATCGCCACCTAAGAATGGAGATTTAATAAAGAACATTATTTTTGATTGTTTTATCTGTGTGTGTATGTGTGTGTGTGTGTGTGTGTGTGTGTGTTTTGAGTGCATGACATTTAAGGACAAGGACAAGTAACAACTAGTACCACAAGATGTCGCTGCCTTCATCCACATGAAGCATTGGTAGTTTTAGCCATCCCTGTTTTCCGGGCACCATCAGCACTTTTCCCAGATAGTCCTGACTTTATAACATTTCCTTTTATCCTCCTGGAGAGTTTCTGAGATTATTGCTGGACTAGCATTCCAGGTGACAAGACTGGTGATGACGGGAACCCAGCAGGTGGGCTATATTTCCTCCTTAAGGACAGGCTTCCCAGCCCTCCCCAACTTGTTCCTGGGTGAATTTATCTCCTATAAATATGTCACCGAGTGTGAGAACCTATGAAGCTTTGCAATCAATCTCCCTTCAAGCTCAGAACTACCCTGAGATTGCAATGCACATATTCTCCCACACTCTAGATTCGCGTCGCTGGCTTTCCTTGTTTCCGGGGTCAGTAAATCTCAGTTCCAGCTAGCATGGGGCTCCTTCAGTCATCATTAAAATGAACTTCTACAATGAGTTCTATAATAGGGAGTTGGGGGCTTGTCCTCCCAGATGCCCAAAGCATGGAACATCACTGAGATGGAAATGACAAGCCGGGGATAGCCCTTCCCCTACGACCATTTCTGCCTGCTCAGTTCCCTTCCATTGCCCTTTTCTGGCCCTCTGCATCTCCCTGCTTACAGTCTGTTGCTGGGTCCATCAAGACGTTTCCAGCCCTGCAGTACGGACGGACTCATTGGAAGGAAAACCAGAAACGATCGGATTTTCTGTACGTCAAACAAGTCCAGTATTTCCTGTTCTGTGTGCCATAAAATTAAAAATTCAGTGTTTTCTACATCTTTATCCAGGCGCATAACGGAGGTAAATCAACCAACCTTTCCACCCAAGGATGGAGGAGCTCAGCGGCGAGCCACCGACTTGGGCATTCCAGGCTCATCCCGCAGTGCTAGCGACTTGCGGTCCTGCTTTTGTTCTTTTGGTTATTTCTGGTTTAGTGTATTGTACACCTCACCTGGCTTTTGGGGACTGTTTAATACTCCAGAGCTCCACTACCACCAAGGCATAATCCAGCACCAGACTGAAAGCAGAG